CCAGATTGGAGAGGGTGCAGGCTGGGCTGAGGGACACCCCCCCTCCCCCCAGTGAATGAATTTTGTGCACCAGGCCTCTAGTTCTTTATAAAGAAAAGCTGTTCATGTTAGTTGAATAGTAGTCTGCTCATGGGGTTCTTGATCCGTCATGTATCTGTTTAGTATAGAGCCAACATATAAACTGGGGATGGTTCTAAATAGCCACTAAGAAAATGTTATATTTGTGCCTACTGTTTTTAAAAGTTAATTATTCGGTATAAATTAGGTCTAAACCTTTATGTAGAATTTTGCAATTGTTAGGATTTTCTTATGCTTTGAGATATATAAGATATATGTTTCAGATAGTGTTTTAAGACTTTATGTAAGATTATGTTTGATATTAGCAAAAGAATTTTAGTTACCAATTTATAAGACTATGATACTGGTTCATGAACTAGATATAAAAAATAAATTAAAATCAAAATGAAATAAATATTTCTTAAATCCATTAGCAAGGAAAATACATTAATGAAGGAATAGTTTTAAGATCAAATTTAAAGTGATGAGTCAAATATACCATTACATAAAATAATCTGAGTGTATGAGTAAAATCTCCTTATAGCTAAAAATTACAAAGAAAGACTGTTTAGCCCTAGTTGGTTTGGCTCAGTGGATAGAGCAGGGGTCCTCAAACTACGGCCTGTGGGCCACATGCAAATACAAATATTGTATTTGTTCCCGTTTTGTTTTTTTACTTCAAAATAAGATATGTGCAGTGTGCATAGGAATTTGTTCATAGTTTTTTTTAAAACTATAGTCCGGCCCTCCAATGGTCTGAGGGACAGTGAACTGGCCCCCTGTTTAAAAAGTTTGAGGACCCCTGGGATAGAGCATCGGCCTGCGGACTAAAGGGTCCTGGGTTTGATTCCGGTCAAGGGCATGTACCTCAATTGCAGGCTTTCCCTGGCCCAGGCCCTGATTCGGGGCACATGCAGGAGGCAACCAATCAATATGTTTCTCTCACATCAATATTTCCCTCTGTCTTTCCCTCTCTCTAAAAATATCCTCAAGTGAGAATTTTTAAAAAAGACTATTCAAATTCAAAAGTATTTTTGAACAGCTACTATGTACAAGGGAGTCTACTTAATGGCCCTGTGAAAATATAGAGATGGAAAGAGACTTGGTATTTATTTAAAATAACCTAAAATTTTTATAGAGTGAATAAAAAATAATGAAAACTACAATAATGAGAAAATGTGATAACATATATAATAAAACTATTTCTGAATTTTAGGAGATTATCAATAATATTGGTGCTCTGATGACCTAATTGCAATAAATTCTTTAGGATAAATGTTTGCCCTGACTGGTATTCTATAAGAATAGCACTGATTGCATGCAATGCTAATAAAATTATAGTTTTATCTGTATAATGTCATAAAATAGTCATGGTGAAATTTTAATTTACATAATTTTATGTATTACCATTAAGGAGCAACAAGCATTGAAAAGTATGATCTCCGTACCAATATGTGGACTCCTGTAGCAAATATGAATGGGAGGAGACTGCAGTTCGGTGTTGCCGTGTTAGATGACAAACTGTATGTGGTTGGAGGAAGAGATGGACTGAAGACTTTGAATACTGTAGAATGCTATAACCCCAAAACAAAGACCTGGAGTGTGATGCCTCCTATGTCCACACACAGGCATGGCCTTGGTGAGTATCACTGCAGATTTGTTCCTAAGTTAGGATTAGGCCTCCACGGCATGTTTACATTCTGTACCAGGCAGAGGAAGACCAGTGTGGCAGCTGCTGAATCAGAAGAGGCACCAGGCATTTCTTCACGTGCTCTCCCTTACCTGAGGAGTAGGAGCAGAGGAAACAAGCATGTACATAAATGTCCATGTGCAACTAACACAAGTAAAACATGAATATTTTAGTGTAGCATGATGGACTGATGTATTTTGTGTTGACAATTAGTATTATCTAACCTAATTGAAATGATTATTTAAACATCTTTAGCATTATTGTGTTTTATTTATTAAGCACAAATGAGTAAAACCCAGCAAAATTTAAAGTGGCACAGAGAAGGCAATGATAGAGACTTTTTATTTTTGCATTCAATAATTCACTGTTGGTCCTCAAAATACTGCCTCTACAACTTTTTAAAATATATTTTTAGACATTTATTTATTTGTTTTTGTTAATCCTCATCTGAGTATATTTTTCCATTGAGTTTTAGGCAGAGTGGAAGAGAGAGGGAAAACCAAAGAGAAAAACATCGATTGGTTGCCTCCTGCCCGCGCCCTCACCAGGGCCCGGGCCGGGGCGGAGCCTGCAACCAAGGTACGTGCCCTTGACCAGAATCAAACCCAGGACCCTTTGGTCCACAGGCTGACACTCTATCCACTGAGCCAGGGGCACTCTAAAACTTTTAAGACCAGAGCTATAGTGCTATTTCTCCCCCTCACTCACCCCCTGTCTACCAAGAAGAGCTGTGAGTAAACCAGATGTCTTTATCATAAATTTTTGCTTAGTTAAATTTGCATGTTTAAGATTCATTGTATTTATATTTCAATTAAAACGTGATTTTTAAGTCATTCTTGTCTTGTAGGTGTGGCTGTATTGGAAGGTCCCATGTATGCAGTTGGAGGGCATGACGGCTGGAGCTATCTGAACACAGTGGAAAGATGGGACCCTCAGGCGCGCCAGTGGAATTTTGTTGCCACTATGTCCACTCCCAGGAGCACAGTAGGTGTGGCAGTACTAAGTGGCAAGTAAGAAAATATTTAAAGTTCTCTTCAAAACAATAAAATAAATTTATTAAGTTAGTAGAGGCCCAGTGCATGAAATTCTGCACTTGGGGTGCGGGGGGGTCCCTCAGCCTGGCCTGCACCTTCTGGCAGTCCAGAAGCCCTCGGGGGATGTTCTACTGTCATAGAGGCGGGAGAGGCTCCCGCCACTGCCGCTGCGCTCACCAGCTGGGTGCCCGGCTTCTGGCTGAGGGGCGCTCCCCTTGTGGGAGCGCACTGACCACCAGGGGGCAGCTCCTGCATTGAGCGTCTGCCCCCTGGTGGTCAGTGTGCATCATAGTGACCGGTCATTCTGCTGTTTGGTTGATTTGCATATTAGCCTTTTATTATATAGGATATCATGTCCAACTTAAAAATATACATAAATAAATCACAAAAGGGAAATACTTTGAGTGATATAAACAAATTGTTTAAATGGTTTCTTTTATAAGAGTTCTGATATAAATATCTCAACAGCAAGTTGAAGTGTGCAGCCTTAGTGAAGAAAGTCCTGCTACTATTTAGATGCAGTGGTGCTTCACTCACCCCAAGAAGAGTGTGTGCTCACTCATCAACCAGTGTTTTTCTAAGCTTGCTTTAACAAAGTTGCAATGTCTTAACTATTTTTTAATATATTTTTTACTAATTTTAGAGAGAAAAGGAGAGGGAGGGAAAAAGATAAACATCAATGATGAGAGAGAATCATTGATTGGCTGCTTCCTGCACGTCCCCTACTGGGGATCGAGTCCACAACCTGGGCGTACGCCCTGATGGGGAATCGAATTGTGATCTCATGGTTCATAGGTCTACACTCAACTACTGAGCCACTCTGTCTGGGCTGTTTTAACTACTTTGTTGGTGTCCATTTTCAGTATATATTCAGAATCTGGAAAAATAGAAACTATGTTTTTAGTTTTCAAAAAAAGTATGCAGTTGATTGAAAAAAATTAATTATGTATCTTTACCACTCCATTGTGATTTAGAACAAATCACACAAGTCAGAAAAAGTTAAGAACTATATGATTTCACTCATATCTATAATAACAAAAGCATAATATGCTAATTAGACCAGACATCCTCCAGGACAACCTTCTGGATGAAGCCGAGACTGTGAGGGAAGCCCGGGTCCTGGGTGCCTGCCAGCAACCAGAGGGAAGACGGTGCCAGCAGCCGGTGGAAGGAAGGCCTACTCTTGCACGAATTTCATGCATCAGGCCTCTAGGATATAGAACTGAAACTCATGAACACAAACAGCAGTGTGGTGGTTGCCAGAGGGAAGGGGGTGGGTGGAGAAGGGGGTCCTAATATAAGGTGACAGGAGAAGATTTGACATTGGTTGGTGGGCACACAGTACAATATACAGATCTTGTAGCATAGAAACCCACCCCTGAATCCTATATGTTCATGTTGACCAATGTCACCCCAATAAATTTAATAAAAAATTGGCTGGCTGGAGGGATCAATGAGGGGAAAACAGGGACATATGTAATATTTTCAATAAATACTTTTTTAAACATAAAATAAAAATAATTTTAAAACGAACAAATCATTTCTCCATACGTCAATTTTTTTTTTTTTTGAGACGGGGTCTCGCTATGTTGCCCAGGCTGGAGTGCAGTGGCTATTCACAGGCGCGATCCCACTACTGATCAGCACGGGAGCTTTGACCTGCTCCGTCTCCGACCTGGGCCGGTTCACCCCTCCTTAGGCAACCTGGTGGCCCCCCGCTCCCGGGAGGTCACCATCAATAAATTTAATAAAAAATTGGCTGGCTGGAGGGATCAATGAGGGGAAAACAGGGACATATGTAATACTTTCAATAAATATTTTTTAAACATAAAATAAAAATAATTTTAAAACAAAAGAACAAATCATTTCTCCATACCTCAATTTTTTAATCTATAAAATGAAAGGCCTGGATAAACTACTGTTTTGTTATTTTAATTTATTTTGCAATGCTTCCTAATGCAAAATATAGTTGTTTCTTTAGGGAAGAACTGTTTCAATGTCTTATGAGTTTCATTCTGTATCTTAAAAATTTCAAAATGTTAAAATTTTCCATTCTACCATGTTTGACAGAAAGAAGCTTTATTTAGACTTTCAGTTGGTCGGCTACTTTTAAGCCACTGGCTGACAAATATGTTTGACAGTAGAATCTCTCTTTCAAATGAAATCTTACTAGAACCTCATTACTTAAGACAAATGGAGGTTCAAATTTACTCTAAGCTTATTTAAATGTACTATAAGCTCGAGTTTATAATATTTATTATAAATTTTAGTGTAGAAGACTAAGTCTATTTTAAAGAACACCCAGATTATTTGTCTTGTTTTGGTAGTCCAATATGAAGAAAATCCTGATTCAAATATAAGCTGAAAATAGTAACAGTTATTTTGACTACTAGAGCAATTTAATTGGAATCTCAGGAAACTTCAGTTAGATTTTTTCTAAGTTTAATCTCAAACGTATCTACCAACCATTGACATTCTTTTTTAAAATTATTAATTTTTATTTGAAAAAGAGAGGGGGGAGAGAGAGAGAGTTGCTTCTTGTATAGGCCCTACTCATCCAGGGTCAACCATCAGCATTCTTGATCATAATTTTTAAAGTTAGGAAAAGACCTAATTTTAAAAGTCAGGCAGAGCCTAAATCTTACATTTTAAAATATTTAGTATAAGATTGTCACAATTTGACATACTAATTATTTTTTTATTGTAATAGGTACTGTCATGTGAAAGAAAGATGAGTTCTGAGATGATATTTTTAAAAATTAAAACTATTTTTTAAAACTTAAATTTCAAATGAACCATTTTGGGGGACACCCTCAAGTCTTCCACAGAATCCTATTCTTAGAATACAGTTTGAAGACCATTGCTTGAGATAATGATTCTTCACAAAGCATTGCCAATACAGTTTAGCCCTTAATATTAGCATAGTATAAATGTTGTTTGTACACTTAATGTTTCCTAAAAACATCGTTTTCTAAAAGAATGCAAATAGAGACAGAATGCATTTCCCCCCTCAAATATGTATACCATACTTACCATATGTAAAATACTGTTCAAAGTACTTTAAATATGATCATTAAAAGTCCTCTGAGGCAGGGCTTCTAAATTTTACGGATGATGACATTTAGGCAAGTGGAAGTTAAATAACTTGTCCAGAATCTCAACTGGCAAGTGATAAGTGGCAGAACCAGGATTCAAACCCAGAGAGTCTGGCTTCAGAGTTCACAGTGAAGATTCATGAATTCATTGTAAAGAGGGTAAGGTGCCTTGAAGACTCTTGTACAGTGTGTGTGTGTGTGTGTGTGTGTGTGTGTGTGTTTACATGTGTATACATGTATTTTTAATTGTTGATATTTTCTACTTAGTGATGTCTTCTAATATTCTGTGATAAATATTTAGATAATTATTCTATCAACTATGGATTAAAGATTAGAATAGTTTAATATTAAGAACAGTGACACAAAAAAGTAGTACTTAACAGATAACAAATTTTAACAGATTAAAGTTTCAAATAAATTGAAATTTCCGTATTATAATATAGCTTAAGCTTACAACTTGTAACAATTACTACAACCTTATGTTGCTGTTTAAAATATGATCATCTTATTTAAAAACTAGATTGAGTGGCATAGTGTACTTTAAATTATGAATGAAAATTATGAAATCTGTCTTTAAAATATGTGTATTATCCAAATGTAAATACTTAGAATTTTAATTGGCAGAAACTTGGTACAGTTCAAATATTATTTCTTTAAAATAAAAAGATAGTTAAATGTTAACTAAGGCCTCTATAAGTTAAAAATACGTGACCTTTAATAGTAGCAATGAACTGAATTTATTACTCTTCTTTTGTTTTTAATCCTCACCCAAGGATATGTTTTTATTGATTTGAGAGAGAAAAGAAGGTGGGGGAAAGAGACAGAGAAACATAGATGTGAGAGAAAAACATGGATTGGTTGCCTCCCATATATGCCCCGACTAGTGATCAAACCTGCAACCTTTTGGTGCATGGGATGATGCTCCAACCAACTGAGCCACCTGGTCAGGGCATGAATGTATTACTCTTTCTATAAAACACTAATAGAAAAATATCTAAGAAGAACTACAAGTAAATAATAAGTACAAGAAGAGTTTGTGCCTAATAAAAATATTAAAATGTTCAAATATTTAAAACATTTGATACATATTTAGAGTAAAAGACTTTCAAATTAGTACTGTATCTTAATCGAAAATGAATTACAATTGACCAAGGCAGCATTTATATACCATATTTTCTATATTCTAAGACACATTTTAACGTCTCTAAAAATGCAGTGCATCTTACAGCCAAGGGTGTGTCAAACAGATGGCAGCTGTGAAACAGTTGTCATTGCTTTCGTGTGAGTTTGGTGTTCTTTTATATGTATACTTAGTGATATCTGATATATCCAGATATATACATATGTCATTTAATTGGTGACATATCATTTTTCTAATGGAACATAAATTGACAGTGTGTCTTATATTCAATGGCACATTAAGTTAATAGAAATACCATAAGAATAACCTCTTTGACTTAAGTGTAGCACTGTTTCTTACTTACCATTCTGTTCTTTTTACAGACTTTATGCAGTTGGTGGTCGGGATGGAAGTTCTTGTCTCAAGTCAGTAGAATGTTTTGATCCTCATACGAATAAGTGGACACTCTGTGCACAAATGTCTAAAAGGAGAGGGGGAGTAGGTGTAACCACCTGGAATGGGTTGCTGTATGCTATCGGAGGGCACGATGCTCCCGCGTCCAACTTGACCTCCAGACTCTCAGACTGTGTGGAGAGGTAATTTCTTGTGCAGGAAAACTAGGGATAAAAAAGAACGCTTTATGCCTCAGACACTTTCAGAAAAATTAGTAATTCTTTATTGAGCATCCACCACATGCAATTTTCCTTTGGAGCTTTGTAAATATTGGGTTTTCTGCTCTGCCATCTCTCAGTCTGTATCCTAACAGCCTCCTCAGATTCTTCTCTTGTCTTATAACTGCCTGCTTCAACTTTACCTTAGAATTGATTATATAATTTATTAATTGAATCATAGGAAAAATGTTTGTTGTATACCATTTTGTACTAGACACTGTAACTAATAAAAAAGAAAGGGAGCTCAGTGATTTTCAGAGATAATTAGTTAGGGACTTGAGCAGTAGTTCCCAACATGAGGCACATGCCCCACAGGGGAGCAATTTGATTTTTAAGGGAGTGAATTCAAGAATAAATTATTAACTGAATTTTTTGCATTTCTTATGGTTCTAGGGGCCTTATATACAGTATATAAATATATATTATATATTTATGCATTTCAGTTCTCTGTTATATGTTTTGAAACTTTGCTATTTTTCATATCACTTCATATTATTATTATTTTTTAATATATTTTATCCTGCACATCTCCTACTGGGGATGTGCCCGCAACCAAGGTACATGCCCTTGACCGGAATCAAACCTGGGACCCTTCAGTCCGCAGGCCGATACTCTATCCACTGAGCCAAACCGGTTAGGGCCATATTATTATTTTTTAACAACTTCTTAATGATTTCTTCCTCAGTACTTCAACTGTCCTTTTGTTCTTTTATTTTTCTCTTACATTGATGCCATGTTCTTTGGAAGCTTGTTTAGACCAAGTTAATGGCCTTTTAGGCTTCCTCCACATGAATGGGAGTTCACTTTTTGAATAATAAGAATTATATGTCACGGGGGGGTGGGGCATCAGGATTTTAGAGATGCTTAGGTGGGGCATGGCCAAAAAAAGGTTGGGAATCACTGGGCTAGAGGCTAATTAAGAAGTGAAAAGAAATGGGGTATTTCTAACACATTTTGATATAAAATAAAATACTGTAAAATAATGAACGACTCATGAGGCTTAGAAGCTTTAACAAGTCATCCACACTGGCCTCATGAAACTCAAGTGTGGGGCCAGGTAAAGAGCCTACCATGAGCCCTAACCGGTTTGGCTCAGTGGATAGAGTGTCGACCTGTGGACTGAAAGGTCCCAGGTTCAATTCCGGTCAAGGGCATGTACCTTGGTTGTGGGCACATCCCCAGTAGGAGGTGTGCAGGAGGCAGCTAAGAAAGCAGGAATGTTACGCCTGCATTTCACCTGTATTGGGGAGAGACTAATTTAGACTACCCGTGGTGCATGTTATAATCCAGGAGAGGAATGTGGAAGTTTTTATACACTTTGCCCCATAAATTACCACAGGCTCAATGTTGTACTGCACCCAGTGAAAAGTTGTTCATTGAGATAAGGGGTATTAGAGCAATATAAGTCATCTTAGCATGTATCTGCTCTTAGATAGACAGCTTTAGGCAATTCTAGTAAACATACTTCATGAAAGGAAGAAGAAGGCCCAAAAATGGACAGCTACAATGATTGAGGCTGTGAGTCATCACATATAGATCTTCACATACTGATTTCCTCAGTAGGCAATTTTCAGTAGGCAATCTAAAAACCTTAAAGCAGTTTTCAGTATTGAACTTAGCTCTTTGGAAAAGTTTAAGTGGAATGCATCTGCTAAATGAATCTGTAATATTGTAAGTTAAAAGTTTTTAGGAAAATATTGATATTCTATTGACATTCTCTAAACTATGTACAAATGCATTTTATATAGCAGATAATAAGACAAAAGATAGGCTTAAAGAACAAAACTATTTTTACATGAAATATTGTGAGAACAATGTCAGCTCCAGTTCTAAAATTTTCTTTCAGATATGACCCCAAAACAGATATGTGGACTGCGGTGGCATCTATGAGCATCAGCAGAGATGCAGTGGGGGTCTGTTTACTTGGAGATAAATTATATGCTGTTGGAGGGTATGATGGGCAAACTTATCTTAATACAGTGGAGGCTTATGATCCCCAAACAAATGAGTGGACTCAGGTATGTCATTTCATTTTTCATTATTCCACTTACTCTGTTGTTTTTTTATTTAATTATAGTTGGAATAGAGTCTTATATTGGTTCTATTAGTTTCAGGTGTACAGTATAGTGATTTGACCTTACAATGTGGTCACCCCACTAATTCTAGTAATCATCTGTCACACCATGTAAATTTATCACAATATTATTGATTGTATTCCCTTTTCTTTTTCATCCATCGCCTCACCCCATCCCTTCTGGTAACCAGTCATTCTTTTGCTCTCTGTTTATATGAGTCTGTTTTTGTTTTGTTTGTTTGTTTGTTTGTTTTGTTTTTAGATTCCACATATAAGTGAAATCATACTGTATCTGGCTTTCTCTGCCTGATTTATTTCACTCAGTATAATATCCTCTAGATCAGTGGTCGCCAACCTTTCGGACCTCACAGACCACCAGTGATCCGCGGACCACCGGTTGGCGACTGCTGCTCTAAATCCACCTATATTGTCACAAATGGCAAGATTTCATTCTTTTTTATTGCTGTGTAATATTCCAAAGTGTACATATATCCCACATCTTCCTTATCCATTCATCTATCAATAGACACTTAGGTTGCCTTCATATCTTGGTTGTTGTAAATAATGCTGTGACGAACATAGGGCTACATCTAACTTTTCAAATTACTGTTCTCGGTTTTTCTTTATAATTACCCAGAAGTGGAATTGCTGGGTCATATATATCTATTTTTAGTTTTGATATGATATAAATAGATATGATATATCTATGTTTAGTTTTTTGAGGAATCTTCATACTGTTTCCATATGGCCTACATCAGTTTGCAGTCTCACCAACAGTACACAATAATATATTTGATAGAGTTGATATCCAAAATATATAAGAAACTCATAAAACTCAATAACAAAAAAATAAACAATCCATTGAAAAATGGACTGAGGACATGAAAAGACACTTCTCCAAAGAAGATATACAGATGGCCAACAGACATGAAAAAATGCTCAACATCACTAATCATCAGGAAAATGCAAAACAAAATCACAATGAGAACCACCTTACGCTAGTCAGAATGGCTATTATCAGAAAGTCAGCAAATAACATGTTGGTGAGGATGTGGAGAAAAGGAAACCCTTGTGCACTTACTCTGTTTTTGTTAAAACAATTATTTTAGTAAAACAGACCCTCTCAATTTTTTGGAGGCTTATGATCCCCAGACAAAAGAGTATCAAAATATACAGCCTGAACATGATAAAGTCATCACTTAATTAAATATAAAAAACAAGAGGGACTCATTAATTTTATAACATAATTAAAATACAAAATTACCTTTAAAGTATAAGTTAATACTACTCAGACAAATTATTGTTAGTTGGTAGGCCACCATTTGCCTGCTGGGAATTGGTGAGATGTTCTAGCATTGCTAGAGCTGACAGTACCACAATCAGGCTATGAGAAAGAGAAGGGGAGGGGAGATTGTGGAAAACAAAGAGGGTAGTCAGAAAAATCGGAGCCGCTACCCATACATGACCAATAATTTTTAAATACTCAAGCCACTGACATTTGGGAGCAGATCAAATGGCTGGTCATAACCTAATTAGTTAAGATGGTAATCCTAAATTACATTATCAAGTAAGACACTTGACCTGGCAAATTATAGCAAGAGTTCCAAATGTGTCTGTTTCTGGGAGAGCCTCACACTTCCAGGAATGGTCTTTTGAGATCTTTCTTTTCCGTCACCAAGAACAGAAACAGGAATTTTGTGCCCCAACTCAGTATCTGGTACATAAGAGACATTCATATGTTTAATTGAGCCAAAGCTTTTTTACAAGAAGCAATGATAAGTACTGTTAAGAAAACAAAACTTATGAGAATCGGACTGTCATAGAACTTAACTACTTAGGTAGATAAAGTCTGCATGTGTAAGGAGCACCCACCATGTAGAGTGGTGATATGAAGAGTCCCATGGCATAGGCAGTGAGTGGTTATAGAAAACCAAAGAGAACAAAGAAAATGGTTGTTGAGAGGGCTTCAGTGAGAAAGAAGTTGGATTTAAGCTAAACCTAAATGGATCCAACTCAGAAAGTAGAAAGGGGAAATTGTGTGAGAAAACATGAAAGAAATGTCACCAAACAGAAATATGTAGGCTCTATTCAGGAAGTGTAGTTGGTTGAGAAGAATAGGAGTTCTTATTGGAGAGGAAGGTTGGGGTCAGGATGGAAATCCATGGAGGTCAAGCTAAAGAGTTTGGGCATGAGAAGTTGGTGGAGACTTTTAACCAAGAGAGTGATACAATAACAAAAAGTTCACCTGGCAGTAGATGGGGACAGGATAAGGTGGGTTAGGGCAGAAGTGAAGGCTTGAGTTAGAGCTACAGGATTTCATTGGAAATTATGTGATTACCTCCCCTCAACCTTCCACCTTGGCAGAAGTAGTGTGAATGATAACCATGAAACCCAAAACGGGATAGAAGAATCTTTCTCTGAAACATATTTGATTTAAACCCTTGGGCCAGTTATAAGAAAATCTATTGGCCAGTATTTGAGGCTTGTTATTGCAGATAATTAATGCTTTATGCTGAATAATTCTGTATCAAAATTAATAATCTATGACCACATAGCTATTTTATATGCATGCCACCTCTATCACTATTTCACAGCACCTAAGTGTGAGCTTATAACCATAGTATCTGAAAAATAAATGTTTCATTCAGTGTTCCAACAAATGGACGAGAGGACATTTGTACAGGGAATGAAATGAGGTTACAAAATCTTAAGCCATCACCCACCCTACTACCAGCCTTGACCCAAAGCAGGAGGTGCCTGCATTGTATTTAATAAATTCTCTAAGCTAAACTTGCTGGCTGGTTGTCATGACAACATGTACTATTCACAGTGTAGAGATTTAGTGTCTTGGTTGTTTTGAGAAAAACTGCTAATTACAAACAGATGCTTTGATTTTAATGCCTTAGAAGTCACTCCTAGAATACTGTAAGTAGATATGGTTTTAAAATAGATTATTTGTTCAAGGAGATAGAACAGTGATCAAAACAACTGATTCAGATGGAGAATAACTGAGAATTTTCTTACAATTGAAGTCTGTGTGTTCTTAAAATCCACTAATTGATACAAACACTTTATATTAGTTCTTTATATTAGTCACTCTTTCCCAAATGCTAACATTTTATTTTTCTTAGGTCAAATGCATAGATTCTTACTATTCTCAAAGTAGTTCTTTGAAAACTATTCTTTCCACATTTTTGTTTCCACTAGTAATTTTCTAGTGTTTAGGATACATTTTAAAAAAAAGAAGAAGAAAAAAAAAAGACAGTCTGGCTGGTGTGGTTTGTTGATTGAGCATCAACCCATGCACTAAGAGGTTGCCAGTTCGATTCCTGGTCAGGGTACATGCCCAAGTTGTGGGCTTGATCTCCTGTGATAGGTATGCCGGAGGCAGCCAATCAATGTTTCTCTCTCATTGATGTTTCTATCTGTCCCTTTTCCTTCCTCTCTCTCTCTCTCAAATCAATAAAAACAAAAAATAAATTAAAAAATGAAAACATTTTTTTAAAAGGACAATAAGTGAAAAATTTAAGAGCTGTTCCTTATCTATAAGCAGTTTATATTCCTAGCACTCACACTTCTATCTCACTGTCATAGAGTTCATTCATCGGGTTTGTTTCCAATACTTGGGAGTTGAATAAGATATTTATTATTTATTTACTCTGCTAAAAATCAGTGGCATGGGTTTAGCCTTTTTCAGCCATGCATAGAGAAAGCAGTCATTATTTGGGAAGTTACTGTTTTTTTTCCGGAGTAAGCAGATCCCAGGCATGCAGTGTATTTTGTGTATTCTCTGAGATAATCCTCCTACAAGGCCCCTCTAGATAATACTTGATATTTTCTCCATATTGGTCATAAAGTTGCTTTTAAGTATTCAGCATTTTCTCACAATATTAGCATTTCCTCACACCCATATTATACACCATTTTACCCAAAACATCGTACTTCATGTAGAACAATTCCTCAGTTATAAAAACACCTTTTCACTATACTGAATTATTATGTTGTACACCTGCAACTAATATAATGTTATATGTCAATTATAACTCAATTAATAAAAGAAAAAATCACCTTTAAAGAGAAGTGAATAATACATAATCATGTGATGTACCCAAGTGATGTGGGATGTCTACGAAAGTTTCACATCAGGAGGAGGTTTTGGGGGGAGGAACCAGGCCAGCAGTAGGCCTGGGGCAGCAGCCTGTTGCCAAGGAGTATGGACTGTTTCAGTGTTTCACCAACTAGTCTAGTATTATCGACATTTTTACCTACAAAGCCAAACCATATATATGTCTTTTTGTTTCTTTTCAGGTTGCTCCATTGTGCCTAGGAAGAGCTGGGGCTTGCGTTGTGACTGTAAAATTATAATTTAGTGTTTTGGTTTCTAAATGAAAATATCCTCTTTTATGAATTTGGCACATTTATCCTACTATCAATGGATACATTTTTAGGAAATTTGCAATGCCACATTCCTGGGCACAAAGTGCCTGATCTCAAAGTGAAGATATTTTTAAAAAGGGAGGATAAACCAGAATCATATACTTTCATTTCTTAGTAAATCAAAAGTATAGCTGGTAGGTTATGAACATATGTCCCTCATATAAAATACAAGAACAAATACACTGCTCCTAAACACAGCCCAGTGTTAATTGGAAATTTCATTTCTTAATAATCAAACACATTATCCAGATTTCTTTTATTGCAGTGCAAATAGACCAGATAAAACTTGTAACCTTTTTCTTTGTAACTTTATCATACATGAGTTGCAGTATTTTTTATTCATTTCCTTGTTTAGCCATAACCACTCTTTTAATGATATACTAAAGAGTATGCTATTTAGTTTAGTGGGGTTTTTTTTTTCCAGAAATAGCTGTAATATATGTGCTTTGGTTGTGGATTTTTTCTAAAATAAAGAAAAACATTAAAAAGTTAAAGTAATAATGACCAAATAAAAACTTGATATGATCGTTGGAATATATTTAAATATCCATCCTATTATATTTAGATTCACCAAGAAGTACATGTTATGGTATTCTCAGATTGGAATTGAAACATGGTGTTCTGCATTAAACTTAAGATATGCAAATTTATGTAGAGAAAAGAAATGTTATATACCCTATAATGTTCTTTCACCTAACAAGTATTTAATTATATGAATTTTTCTTTTATAAAAGATGTTTTTATCCCTTTGTGCTTCTTTGTAATCAGTTTGGGGGAAAGGGGATATTGAATGTTTGAAAAATAAGTTTAAAATGTTTATTACCCAAAGTTTTGTACATTTGTAAACTCTAATTACATATGTGGATGTTAATGCTCTCAGTGAATTGCTTATTGTTTGCAAAAATGCACTGGGCAGTAACATTTTTTGATAAATCCTTTAAGGTATAAGTCATTAATTTATATCCTAATATAAATGAATATGATCTAAATACCCATATTTTAAAATACAGTGTTGTGGTTAATGTGTTTTTGCATTTTATATCAGGGTAACCTTTATTTTAGTTGCTTTCTTTAAAAATTAAAACAAACTTTTTTTAGCTAATTTGAATGCTCATGCAATGTTTCCACATTGTTTCTAGAAATCAAGGAACTGAGTACTTCTGTTTCCCCAAACAAAACCTGTAGTTATTTCACTTTTGTGACTGTTAAGAAAATAATAGTGATGGTGACAAATACATTAATATTTCATAAATTTATTATATTATGAATATGAATTCAATTATTTTCCTGATGAGGATCAGCTATGGAGTATATTTATATATTTAGAGGAAGGGAGGGAAGAGGAAAAGGTATAAGAAACAAAACAAAATTTTCAAAAGCAGAAACATATCATTACATTATCCCTTCTTGTGGAGGCTTAGACCTGTGATTTGAAAGGAAGCACGTGTACATGTACTTGTGATCATTCCTTAGAACACTGTCATCCACTCTCTGGTTCCCTGTGCCCACAGTGGAGCCAGACTCCTTAAAGTAAAGGAACTGATTTCCCTCTCTGAGGACCTTCCTTTCTTTTACGGATTCATTAGAACAGTTCCTTTGATTTTCTGTCCCACTAGAGGGCCTCTCTGATGCAGTTTTATAGTCAATAGGACCTGCTCTCCTGGATACTAACAAAGAGAACCATTTATTTTCTAATGACAGAACATTTGCCAAACACTTCTTCTTCCAGTCTAGGGTCTTATAAATCTAGAGGAAAATATGGCTCTTCCTTGTATCCATCATCCAACATTGCTGCCTTGACTTTACTATTAGTCTCTCCATTGAGATGTCTAGTTGCTCTTTATTTTAACCCCAATTAATGACCACCATATGAAAAACAATATTTGCTAATAATTATTGAATGCTCATTATGGACTGGGGACCTAGTTTTTGCATGCTTGAATGCACTGAATCCTCACAGCAACCTTGTGAAGTACATTCTATTATTTTTTTTACGGAAAAGGAAACAGACTTGGAGAGGTTAACCCCAAGATTATGTATAGCAAGTAAGTGGTAGAGCAGGGTTTCAGTGCAGGCAGTCTGGCTCAGGATCCACACTCTTATCATTCCTGCTTCTAGGTAGAAAAAGACAGGCTTCATTTCATGTGGGGAAGCATTCATTTTAGTCAGAAGAATGAAGTTTATGCTTTTTAGAAATAAAGTTTATACCAGTAACACTCCTATCAGAAAATTTTGGTTCCTGAGTATTGGGGAGAGATTTTGCTTAAATATCTTATGGAATTTTGTATACATTTTGCTTTAGAAAAGTAAATGCAAGAAAGCATGACATTTCAAGTTTTATAAATATTAGATAAATTGCATTGTATTTTGGATAACTGAACCATAAATAAATTTATTCATAAAAAATAAGCTTTATTGCCAACAAATTATCAGGGGTGGGCAAACTTTTTGACTCGAGGGCCACAATGGGTTCTTAAACTGGACCGGAGGGCCGGAACAAAAGCATGGATGGAGTGTTTGTGTGAACTAATATAAATTCAAAGTAAACATCATTACATAAAAGGGTACGGT